GATGTAAAATTGTTGCTGCTGTAACACACCTGTGTCCCAAAAACCCTACGTGAGTGCAGTTGAAAATTGAAGAGGGAGGTTTGCGGTAGGGGATGGGGAGGAAAAAACTGAGGGAGCAAGAATGCTCCCACAGGGGGCCAGCTCCCCCACTGACCCCAGTAGGCTCCCCCGCCCCCCGAGACCCACCCAGGGACTGAGGCCCCAAGACCTCCTCCTCTGGACAGACCGCCAGGCCTGTCCAGAGAAATGTAATAAATTGTAATAAATACAGGTTGTAGTCTAATGAGAGCAGTGTGGGAGGAAACAGACCCAGGAGACTTGGAGTAAAAGGTAAGTGAAGTTTTATTTGCAGGTGCAGATTCAGATTCCATATCTGGAGGAGAAAGGCAAGAGGTGAAGATAATATCCAGCAGGGGGTTGATCTAGTTGAGTACAATGTTTCTTGTTCTTACAGGTTTTCCTGGAGGCGACTGATTTGGAGGGGAGGGCGAGGACTGTTCAGGGACTTCATTTATAAAAGACTGCATAAAACACATACTAAAAGTGAACGCATGGCCAAGAGGCGAAAATGGTGTATGCCCCCCAAAAATTCTGATTTTTAAAACCATCGCACCAACACTTTCAAGGAAATTTCCTTTATAGATCAAAGCTGCACCTCAAAGATTGTGCACAAGTTCTCGCCTCAGGTTCTGCTCTCTATACACCCACAATCAACCATTAAAAGCCAATGCAAAGTAACTCATGAATTTTAAGGTGCATTTAAATGAGTCAGCTGATCAATGTCAACAAAAGCGATTTGCCGGTTCTTGCACGCACCACTTCATGCATCTGGAGGAGGATGGGTGCTGACAACTGCTCACATGAACACATAGTCCATAATTTAAACAGATTTTCCCCCATTTTACAGGTATCAAGAATCGTTTATTGTCATTCATACACAACATCAGATGCGATGCAGAACTAAATTTGCAGTTTTGAACATCTGTCCAGAGAAACACACACACGACAGACACGGGGAAACAAATGTCCAGGGCCCTGCGCAACGTAGTGTGCTACCTTGCAGTTTAGAATACACAAGGATGAGTTAAAAAAAAAGAGCTCTGAGCATCACACAAATAAAACTACTTTGCAAATAGGAGCAGAGGCAGCTGAGCAGGGGTGGGGAACAAATATGGACAGGGGTAAAGATTGCAGAGGAACCGGTGACATCAAGGACAAAGTGCTGGGACCAATCAGAGACCTCCAGAGTCCAACCAGTTGTTATCAATCGAACACAGTTCACCAGAGTTCAGTTCTCTGTTCAGAGTTCAGTTCTCTGTTCCAACCAACATGACCTCGAACTGGGACCAGACACAGGTGGGGATTGGGGAAAGGGAGGGGGGAGAATCAAGGCTTCCATCCACACACAATCATCCAGAGAGTCTTTTCAGCCTGTGACCAAGGTCACATCTGTGGGGATCCGATGATGGAATAAATTCTTTAGAACAACAGCAGACTTCTTTTCTCCACTGCTTTAAAGTCTTCACTGTGCCTCTGTGTTGCAAAAATGCCAATGTTCCAGATTAGTTACCATCTTACCTCTCCCATATGAACTTCACCCAGATGATGTCCTCACTCCTCGCGCTGCTGGGCTGCGATCCTAGTTAGAACCACATCCAATTTGCGATTCAACTCTCCCACCATTTAAGTCTGTGCGTTCACCGTACGAGAGATTCCATCCAGGGACAAAAACAGCTTCTCACAGGACCGAATCGCCATCAGTGCCATTCTCATTTTCCGATAAACCAGAACTCCTCCGCAGCYGATCAGCAGGAATCCGATTATCATAAATCCAAATATGAAAACATCTTTGACGTTCTCAATGGAAAGAGGTACCAGGCAGATCAGGTTCCAACTCCCCTAGCTGTCTGAAACTCGCCCCGCAGCCACAGTTCCACTGGGACAAGAGCTCTCCCCATGCTCTAATCTCAGAGTGGAGAAAATGGCATCAATTGCATTCAGAGACCAGTTGACCAGATCCATAGTTCTAGTCATAGGTATACAGACGTTTAGAGCAATCTCATGGAAAAAAATCAGCTTCAAATGTATTTTCTCAGAGCCTTTAGGATGTTAAAAAAAATTACTGTATTTTTCGGACTATAAGCCGCGACTTTTTTCCTGAACTTTGAACCATGCGGCTTATAGTCCGGTGCAGCTTACACGTGGATTTTTTTATTCAGCCACCAGGGGGCTCTTATGCTCCATTTGCTTCAACCACTCGCTTCAAAAAAAGAAGAAAAGAAAAAAAAAAAGCGATCCTTCCAGAGCCGTCTGTTGACCAGGAATCAGCAATTTAAAGAAAGTCAATGGCCAAAAACTCATGAAAGGGGATAAAACAGACATTTTTCACGGTGGAATCTGACTGATAATAACTTTGGAGCTTAATCCAGGACCAGTTTGTGGATAAACGTCGAGTGAAGAGCTGCTGACTTTTTTTTTCGGCATTGCACTCCCCGGGATCACATGCAGTGACGGATGCTGGAGCGGGAGGGCTTTCCCAGCAGCTGACTGACGGGGATAAATCATTCACAAAAACTGGCCAAATGCGAAGAGCGACATTTCCTGATGTCTGCCAGTGGATTCTAACAGCGTGGAGCAGAGTGAACGAGTCCACCATCACAAATGAGTTCGGAAAGGCTGGACTGCTACGTGCAGAGGACACCACAGCTTCAGAGCCAGCCCGGGAGGACAGCGACACAGAAACTGAACAGGTA